GGAGGGGGAAATCAGTTCTGTTTTGGCCTTATTGGAATGGAAATGCCTGAGACATTCATGTGGAGATGTCAAGCAGAAGATCTGAGCTCACCACCAGCATATATACGACAGGTAACTATGAGATTGGATGAGATCGCCTAAGAGAGGAGTATTGCTAGAGAAGAATCTATGACTGGACCCTGAGGAATTCGAACTTGTAGAGACAGGAAAGAGAAGGATCTAGCAAAGAGAGGAGGGACCAGTGAAATAGGAGGAAACTAGGATAGCACAGTGCCAAGGAAGTGAAGAACGCGTCAAAAGCTGCTCAGTGCGGTGAGGTCTATCTAAGAAACAGCCACCAGATTGAGAAGCGTGGAGGTCGTGGGGGACTTGGAGAGCATTTCACTGGAATGGTCAAGAAAAAGCTTGAGGTCATACAATGCCAGCCCAACATCTGAAACCAGCATTGAGTTTGTTGTTAAAAAAAAAAAAAAAAGCCACATAGCAGCCAGATCACGAAATGATCAAAATGTTCAAAACCTGCCAGTGGATTTCTATCACCCTCAGAATAAAACCTGAAGTCCTTCCTATGACCTACAAGTCCCCATGAGATCTGGCACCTGCTGTCTCTGTGACTTTACCTCCTTTCATGAGCTCCCTCACTTGGCCCGCTCCGGTCATACCAGCCTCCTTGCTGTTCCTTCATCAAGCCAAGCTCCTTTTTATTTAGAGCCTTTTCATTTGCTTTTCCTTTAAATTGCACGGTTCTTTCCCCACTTATTTGCATGGTCTTCCCTGACTCCTCGATATGCATATGCAACAGTACCTCCCCAACATCCTTTAAGTAGTTGGCCTTGCCTGGAGCTGTAACCTTTGAAAGGGAAAAAAGTCTGTACCAGGTAGGCTACTTTTTACGTTGCTTTAGGAAAGAATGAGTTGTAAAAGGCAAAGAAACCTTTTTTGAATATGGGCTCACTTGATTATGGAACTGTTGACTTATAATGCTATCAGCAGTAAGATTCCAAAGGTTTCCAGTAATGGACTCTTTTCTTTTACCCAAGCTCTCAGAAAACAAGCACTACCAACATACACACAGTTTAAGTTAACCATTTCTGTAAATTTGTACTTTATAGTTCAAGTTGCTCTTAATCTCCTACTTGGTCCTGGGTGCTGAACTATTAAGTAGCCATCATTCAATTCCTCAATCCCACTACAAACCATTTCTTTTGTTTAAATCTGGGGATATCTCAATCTGAAGATCTCAACTTTTTATCACCATTTCATTCCAGTCTAAAATAATTTCACCTTCCAATCATATTTATAATATAGACCATTTCTTTTTAAAGACGTCCAAGTGATTCAATGCCAAAACCCCAACATCAGTAGTGTGAGATGACTTCTACTAGGATAGTGTCAGTAAGGACAGAGGGACACAGATAGATTTGAGGGACACTTAGGGAATAGAACTGTAGAAAATTGAGACTTGATGGTGAAAAGCAAGGGAAAACGAGAAATTGAGGATGATGACCAGGTTTCTGGCTTAGACTACTGGATGTGCGGTGGTGTCACCACAGAAGAGAAGGAAAAAAAAAGGTTTGAGCAATGGGGGAAATCAGTTTTGAGCTCATTGAATTTGAGGTGCCTGCAAGAGCTGCCCTTTAGGCAGTTGGGTGTTTGGGTTTAAGGTACAGGCTGTGTTACCAAATAAGTAAATAACCTTGCACTATCTTAACCTCCTGGGACCTGTTTCTACATTTGTAAAATAAGGGTGTTGTAGTATTTCTAAGGTGCCTCCCAGCCCTAAAGCATCAGTGAACTAAACTGTATCAGCAATCTTAAGTAATTTGGTTTGGATCCTTATTTCCTTCTTGGAACTTTGGAGTATCGTGCTCTCTCTGTGTATTCTACTTTGATAATTTAACAAGAACTTTAACAAGAACTATTTACTAGCTGGGAGCTCATGAATTCATACGACTGTTTTCACTTACATTTTAAGAGAGAGGGAAGCACTGGATTCCCCTACTGATGAAAGACACACATTCAAGCTTGCTGGCCATTCTTGGGAAGAATAAAAGAATTTAAAAAATTGTAGGCTACCATTGAAACATCTTCTCTATGAATTCTTGCCCTCACAGATTTGGAGAAGTTGGAGACATTATTCCTGTAACAGGGAAAAGGGGGGAGGAAAATATGGAGGGCACAAAAAGGATTTATGTTTGACAAGTAACATCCATAAGATCTTCTGTATCACAATACGTTTCAAAAGAAAAAAAAAACATTTAAATTAATATCTATCTTACAATTTGGCAGTGCAAAATTAAGAAGTAACGGAAATGAAGGTTAAACAGGTCTCCTTAAGTTTTATCGTCCAGAAAGAATGACCTTATTTCAATATTAGAAATTCTGAAATTCTGCCTGTCCTACTTTCCAAATTGCACACAGCCTCTTGGTTATTGCAAATTATTTTCAGGTTAAAATTAAGTTTGAAGGAAGAAGGGACACTAACCTCATCATTCTGACACATGTGTAGGAAGTAGCCCTGATACTAAATGTAACTCTTGTCAAAGACAGGCTTTGTGGAATAACTGACATTCGGATGGCTCACCACTTGAAAAGAAAGAGCACAGAATACTGTAGAAGACTCATTTGAGCATTATTTTCCATTGTCTCAAGAGGCAGTATCATTGCTTTGGTGAAAAAGAATCTCTCCGACTCAAAATCTTTAGGGAAAAATATCAACTGAGCAAAATGACCACCACCACACACTGGACTCTACATATGTCTCTAGTGTTTCTTATTGATCAGCACACAATTGATGTATCTTGAAGCATTATCACAACTTTATTTTCCCAATTTTAAGGATCCCCATCACATCATACCGTGGATAGTGTGCCACAACCTACTGAGATAGATGAATAGGGGGCCCAGAAATGAAACAAAAGGGAGAATTAAGAAATTATTTCCTTATAAAATTATTCCATCTTAAATAAAATTTCATTTTAACAGAATATGATTATTCTATGAAGTACTTATGTGGCCCTTGTAATAAAACATATCGTGCATTGTGACTGAAAGCATGGGTTTTGGAGTAAGACAATTTGGTTTAACTCCTGGTGCCTCTAATGTGACCTTGGGAATATTTTTTTAACCTCCTGAAGGCTAAATCTCCTCTTTAGTAAAATGAGGGGATAATACTTACATTATAGGGTTATTTGAGGACTACAAGTGATCATTTAAAATATATTACATAACCAAAATAAAGACTGCTAGACAAAAGAAAACACCATTTCAACCATGATTTTGTTAGACTTTTATTAAGAATATCTTTTTTGAGCCATTATTTCAAGGATCTCCCTAAAACTCCAAGTCTTAGGGCAATTAATTTTAAAGGAGTTGACTCCAGCTTTCATAATATTAGTACCAACGTTTTTTTCTTTAAGGACCACCGTGTGCATGGCACTATATTGATGGCCAAGCAGAAATCCTAGGTCTAATTTCTCTGATGTAAAAACTATTCTTACTTGTGGGTATTAATTTGATGTGAAGAATATAAAGCAAATTTCTGAAAACCTGTAAATAAGCACGAGACTACATTTCATAATTCATAGTAAAGGTATAAACAGTTAATTCTTGATTTTTCATATATATATATATGACATATAGTAATCCAAGTTATTCTAGTGTTGAAATACACTATCACTTTTGAGTACAGTACTGTCCTAATAATTTTTCATTTTGATTATTAGTTATTTTTGTTTATATTACAAGTTAAGTGAAACTCTCAAACTGACTAGGACACACAAAAAATCAGTAGTCGTCCTGGGTTAAAAATTTCCCACATTATCATTTAAGGTGGTTAATCCAGACTTAGCTGTAACATGTTCCCAAACCAATAAATATAATGTATTAAGTAACAGACTATAAAAAAATCTGGATACAATCAAGGATGAATAAATAAGTCGTTAAGATGAACCATACATGAACTTTTAGTTAAAAATACACCTTAAGAAGGCTACGATCAAAAGCTTCCACTTGCGCTACTCCTTTCTCCTGTAATCATCCTCATCTTATGTGATAGTTTGTTATCCTCCAGAAGAGTAAGAAAAAGTCCTTTCATATTTCATGATAGGTTTAATCAGGTAATTAAAACAAATTCTTATATCATCTGATATGTCCAATTACACGGGTATGATGTAACAAAAACAGTTACAAACTTATATACGCATATTTACATTATATATCCAAAACTATCAAGCTAGTCACCTATATCCAAGGAGATACATTATGATATGAATTAAACAACTTTTCATTGCTTATTAGAAAGAATGCAGTCAAGCTTTTAATGGAAAGAATATACAAGTGAGGCACTTTTGAGGTCAAGAATAGAAAGCAAATGACACTACATACTGGCAATGTTCACAAAAATCTATGTGTATCTTAATACAAAGATTTTCAATTAGACTATTCTTGAAAAATTTCAAAACTAGCAACTTATGCAATTTAAGGAGCTTTCAGGAACAATGGCTAACATCAGTGTATCAAGCATATGAAAGTTTTATAACCACCTGGCTGCTAGGCAAACAGTACCTTAATATCTTAAAGCCCTTTATTTTTTGGTTTATATAAATCATCTCAGGTTGTGATTTCTTTTTGTATACTTTGACTCACTGCAAAACACCTTATGGTGCCATTAAGTTGGCCATAGACCAATTTTTTTTTTTTTAGTGCAACAATAATGCAAGTTTCTAGTGCTTTCCCTTATACTTAGAAATGTGATCCTGGAGGTCAAATTAAGAATGAAAATATTTAGTGAAGAATCTGTGTTTTCCAGGTAACTAAAGTTTTCAAAGTTTTATGTAGAAAAAAGTTACACTTGCTTAATGTATCTTTGGGCTAAAATTAAAAACCCAACCTTAAACACATATTCCAAAGTATAATCACAATACCTAAAGTAAATTTCAACAAAAGAAATATCCTTAAGATTTTTTAAATTGCCCATCTGGAGGAAAGTACACGTTTCCTGTACTTTGGAGACTTATATGGATATTAAGCAACATCTCTGTGGTGTTCAATTAAGGGGGAGAGAAAAAGAAAAGAAAAAGCAAGACTTACCCAAGATATCAGATGGCACTATACACATGAATTGAAAGTGCATTTGTATTACTTCAAAAGTTCATTTTAGGCACTGCTGAATAACCAATGAAAATAGGTAGTTTCAAGTTTTCCCCTTTAAATTTTAACCCGTGCCCCAACATCATCCCAGAGACATACACATACTTTCTGAAATTGTCATGATGAAATACAGGTTTATTGTTTTAAAAAATTCTCCCTGACTGGTAATGGGAGGAAAAATAAGAACACCATTTTGGTAGTGGCTTTTGTGAGTTAAAAGAATCGGTTCTATAAATGCTTCGGCACATCCATTAAGTTTGATTGCCAGTTCCAAATATCAATAAATATGTTAAAACAGGATATGTAAGAAAAAGCGCTTAAAATCTTTCAGTGACCAACAAGACACATTAGGGAAAAGATTGGTTTTACAGTTCCTTGGAGATATTTTGTACTCCTGCTTTCCCCGTTTGGAGGGCGCCACCACTTAAATAGCCCTTTAGTACTGGTAGTTGACGAACCCTGTCAGATCCTGATTGCCACCTCATGTCTCTGGTCTATAAATCACCCAGTAGGTGGTGCTGAAGTTCCACACCTCATATTTCTTCAGAAATCAAATGATTCCCCTGTGAGGCAGCAGAGAAATCATTTAAGAATTATCAATTCTGAACACAACAAGCCATCAGACCAGACCAAAATCTTTCTTGTCATGGCATCTAGATGATTTCATTTTCAATATTTACTATTACTTAAGCAGTTGTTTAGCCATTTGCTTATACTACTAGATTAAAAACAAAGAGAAAGGTTTTAAAGGAAAAGCCAATTGGCAGTGCCAAATCTGTATGCAGAACGAGAAAATGTTCCTGAACATACCTATACACATGTTTAAGAAATTCAAACTATCCATTTGTTTTCACATAAGAATTCTAATTTACTCCAGAAGATTTCCACATAGGGATTCAGTTAACATTATATTATCAGTTAGTCTTCTAGACTGATTGGGAAACTGAGTGTGCTAACTATAAAGATCCAAGGTGAAATAAAAACCATTTCATCACCATAGTTTTTAATGAAGAAACTTGTTTAAAATTGTAAAGGAAAAAACGGGGATGGGACGGCAAAATCTTAGCAGCAAAGTGGTTAAACAAATTGAAAATATTAATGCACAAACATTAAAATTTTAAAGCATATATGTTGCATATAAAATACAGTACGGAACCAGGAGTTGCACTATACCGATTAGTGCTTAACAGGAGAAATGATTAAATTTGTTCTTCCCGGAAGTATATACACAGTTCATGTCCACAGCATTTTCCCATATAGCCAGCAAGTTATTTTCTTCAGTTATTCACACCTTGCTCAAACCTGAATTATAAACTCAGCACTTACAAATATGAAAATTCATTCACAAGGAAAACCAATATTTCTATTTCACCAATAAAAAGTAATTTTGAAAGTTAACAGTCTATTCTAGGAAACTGAGTTTAGCTGAAAACTTCAGGGATGAAGATCATCTGATGTAGCAGCGTCCAAATATATAAACAGTAAAAATAAGACTTAAAACTGCTGCTACAGTGTCATGTTTTGGATTTAGTTCATCCAATTGATTTTTAGTACAAAACTAGAAATAACTTCTTCATAACATCTATAGTTAACAATATATTTTTCTTCTTTTCAATGTGAAATAATACTTCAAGATGATCTATATACACAATGTTGTCAGTTCAAGCTGTCATATAAATATAAATGCTTTCTTAAAAAAAAAGTATTTTACAGACAGATATAGTGTTATATACATTGTTCAGTTTGATCTGGGTCAAAAGAAGAAAGCGAACACAAGCCTAAATGTGATATGTAAAAAGAATGATACATAAATGACACTTTAAAACCTGCATAGAAAATAAGCTTCAAATGGTAGTGTGATTTTAGTTTTTATCACTTCTGAAACTTTAAGCCATTAAAAAAAAGGCACACTTCTCAACTTTATCCAAGGGAATGTTCTTAAAGAACCCCTTACTTGGTTAGAGTTTTAATGTAACACTTAAAAAAGACAATTTGACCCCAAAGTACTTTAAACAATTTGTTGGAACATTTATCCAACTACTTTGTAAATAAAACATCCAGTAATACAATGTTCTGCAAAAGAAATAAATTTATATGTACAAGATATTTCATTCACAATGTTGGATTAAATACATTCCTGGGATAGTTTAGCACACACTTTAACGTAAAATAATTTTGCTTTTGGCAGTTTAAATAAAATAAAATGTAACTGAGAAAAGTTACTGTTATGTGAATAATAAGTACTGAGAATTAAGCTAAAAAATTAGTAACACAGCTGAACATATTGTCATTTAGCAGAATGATGAATAGAGATCTCAGGAGAAAACTGTTTTATAATGACTATCCAGTTACATTTTTTGCCTTGTAAAACATTTGTAAATGCAATATAATTTTTCAAAGGAGGAAACTGAAAGAAAACAACTTGCTGGTTGAATACCACAAAACACAACAACCCCAAAACCTCACTTTTTTCTATAATGTTTACTCAGTCTCTTTTAATATAAAAATAAGTGTTACATTCCCATCAGAACATTAGACAATTACATCTGTGCTTTAAAAAAAAGTTGGTCACTCAAGGCTATTAGAATATTTTTAAGGATTTTAGATTACCAGAATGTACAGATATAACTCAATATAAACTGTCGCCAAAGGGAAATGAGGATGAAAATATCAAATCATTCACATGGAATAAAAACGTTATTAACTAGATGAGTAAAATATTCAAAATATAATGGAATGTGATAGTAGATATATGTACATCTACCTTAGAACTAGGAAGGGGAAGAAAAGTTTAATATGTAATAATTCGTACCTTATTTTTAGTTAAATATAAACATTTGTTATAATATACATAAAACTGCTTTCAAAAAACAACTAATAAATGATTTAGTTGCACTTATTTTACTTCTTACAATTCCCAAGTGTTAACTTTTCTTAGATTGAAATCAACTGTCCCCTAGTGCACTTTTAGTCTTAAAATTCAAACCTTTACAAGTCCCATCACCTAATGCACAAATATACAAAAATGCCAAAAATCCCTTTTAGTTGGATCATATTTTACGCCCACTTTTTATAGCCAATAACCAGAAATGGTTTCCTTTTGCAAATACTCTTTACAACCTGTAACAAAACATGCCATGTACTCAAGGGAAAAAGTTAGGCATGGCTAGCATCTGTGAAATGCCAAGAACTGAAGAGTTCTGCTTCCTCCATGTGTGGCCCCAATGATACCAGGCAAGATTTCATATTGCTTGCCAAAAGCTTCCACAAATCCAAGTTAGCTAATTCCTGGAAACAAAGATTTAAGCTCATTTTGGCCCTGGATCCTTTCATCCAGCAGCTTTATGTTTCCCACCACAGCACCCACATGCCTCACCACAACGATGGCACATTCTCAAAGGGACGTAGCAGCACATACATGGTACAATGAAAGACAAAGCTACTAGGGCTAACCATCGTAAGCAGAACTTGTCATCGCTAGTGTCACATGAACAGGGATCAGAAAAATCTCCCTCTGAGTCTGACATACAATGATACAACATGCTCTCTGCACAGAGCATGCAACTAACTTGATATATGCATCTTTTAATAGGGTCTGGAGCATCCTGACATTTTCCTCTGCCATTTTCTTCATGATTAAACCTTTCCTGGCAGTATACGCAGCGAGAACGTTCACCATCTTCTTTTCTTCGTTTTGATTTCTTAAATTTTAATGAGGAAGGCTGTGTCTTAAATACCACAGAGTCTTTGAGTGAACTTAACTTAGTTTCGTCCCCACAAGAGTATAAATAGTCTGATTTTTTACTGTCTGGTTTAGAAAACTGAATATTGGAGTCAGTATCATCTCTCTCCAGGTCATTTTTCCACATATCAGGATGCCTGTAGTCCGCATAGCGACGTATTAAGATATCTCGAGGGTTTATTCTGACAATCTCATCCTCATCTTGAAAGCTGACATGTCGGATTGATTTCAAAGGAACCTAAAGGAAAGAGATGAAAATTGCAATAAGGACTGTGAAGGTTAATTTTACGAGTCAATTCAGCTGGGCCACAAGTGCCCCGATATTCAATCAAACATTATTCTGGATGTTTAAGTGAAGACGTTTCTTTCTTTCTTTTTTTTTTTTTGTGAGGAAGATCGGCCCTGAGCTACCATCTGCCAATCCTCCTCTTTTTGCTGAGGAAGACTGGCCCTGGGCTAACATCCATGCCCATCTTCCTCTACTTTATATGGGACACCGCCACAGCATTGCTTGACAAGCAGTGTGTCGGTGTGCACCCGGAATCCAAATCGGTGAACCCCGGGCCGCCGCAGTGGAGTGCGCACACTTAACCACTTGTGCCACCTGGCCGGCCCCCAGTGAAGACGTTTCTTGAATGAGATTAACATTTAAATTGGTAGACTATAAATGAAGCAGATTATCCTCCATGATGTAGGTGGACCTCATCCAATCAGCTGAAGGCCTTAATAGTACAAAAATTGACCACCCCTGAGCAAGAAAGAATTCTGCCAGCAGACTGCCTTTGGATGCAAACTGCAACTCTTCCCTGGATCTCAAGACTGACAGCTTACCCTGAAGATTTTAGATATATACCTCCACTATTGCATGAGCTGATTCCTTAAAATAAATCTTTCTGTATATATACATATCTTGTTGGTTCTGTTTCTCTGGAAAACCCTGACTCATACAAATTTTAGTACCAAGAAGTGAGGTGTTGCTGTAACAAATAGCTAAAAATGTGGAAATGCCTTTGGAACTGGGTAGAGGCTGAAAGAGTCTTGAAGTTCATGTCATAAAAAGCCTAGGTAGCCTTAAAGAGACTGTTGGTAGAAATATGGATGTTAAAGGTGCTTCTGGTGAGGGCTTAGATGGAAATGGGGAACATATTATTGGACACTGGAGGAAAGGTGATCCTTGTTATAAAGTGGTAAAGAAGGTGGAGGAACTATATTCTTGTGTTTTGTGGAAGGTAGAACTTGTGAGTGAGTGATGGACTTAGATATTTAGCAGAGACCTCAAAGCAAAGTGTTGAAGGTGCAGCCTGGTTTCTCCTTGCTGCTTATAGTAAAATCTAAGAAGAGATAAACTGAAGTAGTAATTTTTAAGCAAAAAGGAACCAGAATTTGAAGAATTGGAAAATTCTCAGCCTATCCATATTGCAAAAATTGAGAAAGCACGTTCTGGAAAGAATACCAAAGGTGTGGCTAGACAACCATAAAATAAAGAGATCATAGGACTCCTCTAAAGGGATTAGACTCATGGATCTAATCAATCATCTGAGCTGAAATGCTACCACCTTGGACCAAAGGGGACAGAGTTGGGATGAAATGAAGGAAGACTTCTAGGATTTACAGGACTGGCAAATAGAGCTATGTGGCTGAGAACATGTGTTATCCTTTAAGAAAAGGGAAGAATGACCCCAAAGGTGGGGCTGTTTCCTCCTTAGTTCCATAGGATGGGGCCACTTCCTCAGTTTCAGTGGGCCAGGAAGCCTAGGGCCCAGGAATGATGCTATCACCTATGGTCATGGCCAAGGGGAGTGGGGCCACCACCCTGGTGGGCCTAGAGGACAGAACATCAAGCCAAAGAGGATTATTCTCAAGCCTTAAAATCTAACGGAATTTACCCTGCTAGGTTTTAGACTTGCTTGGGACCAACGACTCCTTTCTTCTTTCTGATTGCTCCCTTTGGGAATGGGAATATCTATTCTATGCCTTTCCTATCATTTATTTTGGAAGTAGTAATTTGTCTTGTTTCACAGGTTCTCAGGTGAAGAGGAATTTTGCCTCAAGATGAACTATACCTTAAGTCTCACCCACATTTGACTTAGAAGATATATTTAGATGAGATCTGGGACTTAGAATTGATGCTGGAATGGGTTAAGAATTTGGGGCTGTTGTGAAGGAGTGAATATATTTTGCACGTGAGAAAGCATGAATTTGGGGCACCAGTGGATGGAATGTTATGGTCTGAACTTTGCCCCCTCCCAAAATTCATATGTTGAGGCCCAACACCAAGTACAGCAGAATGTTACTACATTTGGAGATAGAGCCTTTAAAAAGGTGATTAAATTAACATTAGGCCCTTAGGGTGGGCCTTAATACAGTTTGACTGGTGTCCTCATGAAAAGAGGGAATTTGAACACACAGAGACACAAGAGTTCTGGGTGCAGAGATGAAAGCCCATGGGAAGATACAGCCAGAAGGTGGCCATTTGCAAGCCAAGGAGAGGTCTCAGAAGAAACCAAATGTGCCAACACCTTTATCTTAGACTTCCGTTTCCAGAAGTGTGATGTGAGAAAATAAATTTTTTTTGTTCAAGCCACCCAGTCTGTCGTATTTTTGTTATGACAGCCCTAGTAAACTAATACAAAGACATACACTTTTTACAGCTTGGCTCTAAGAAAGTCTCTGAAGATGACTTAAAACACACTATCCCACATACAGACACTCTTTCTCTCTAACACTTCTGGGTAGATTGTCTCCTTGAGGCCAGGGAGCAAAGTACATCTTTGGGGGATAAATCAAATGGGGTCTAAATCAAAATGACCCTTCCCTTCACCCATACAAGTAGGCTTCTAGTAATCATATTTGTATCTCTTAGTCCCAGTCCCTGGACACGGTGACTAGTCTACAAGTAAGCATCTGATCCAGGTTGGGGCAAACTTCTACTCCCCAGATATTTGGAATTGGGGCTCAAAAAATTCCAGGTCTGGGCTAAAGGCATAGTGATGGATGCAGTCCATTAGATTAACAATATACATGGGCCGGCCCGGTGGTGCAAGCAGTTAAGTGCGCGTGCTCCGCTGCAGAGGCCCAGGGTTCCCAGGTTCGGATCTGGGGTGTGCACCGACGCACTGCTTGTCAGCCATGCTGTGGCGGCGTCCCATATAAAGTAGAGGAAGACAGGCATGGATGTTAGCCCAGGGCCAGTCTTCCTCAGCAAAAAAAGAGGAGGATTGGCAGATGTTAGCTCAGGGCCGATCTTCCTCACAACAAAAAAACAAAAAACAAAACAATATACAATTCCTATACAGTGAGATAAATACACTGGGACAATCCCCTAGACTCAAACCAGAAATCTGGATGGAATTTAAGTAATAGCATATATGTAGTAAATTTACACACACAAATAATTTTCTAGTACAATTCAACTATATGGAGAATTAGAAGAAGTGAAAAACTTCACTTATATGTTAATTAGTTACATTCTATATCAAAAGATAAACTAAGATTACTTACCCTATTTTGGGACTTTAGGCTTCCACATTCCTTGGATATTTGCCGCTGTACATATTCTATACTTCTGCCCTGAATGTCTAGGCCTGGATGACTGAATGTTATCTAAAATACAAACAATTTCTACTTAAGTGACAAAAAATACATTTCTTATTTTTAATAAAACTATATACAGTGTATATTCCAAAACTTCATAACCTATTAGTAGTGAAGCTTTTCAAAATATTTTAATAAAAAGCATTATTTGGTCATCCTATTTATTATTTAAACTTAGGTCTTTCCTTATATATTTAAAATTTAATTGAAAAAGTAATAACAAACTTGGTTTCTGGTTCTGCATGTCAGGAGCTTGGAAGTTGCCACTCTGCCTTAACAACAAGTTAAAAGATGAACAGAAAAAAAAAAAAATCAACTACTCTTCTTGGATCCATAAGAGAGAGGAGGACACAGTGCAAACCACTGCCCCCAAGATTGGAGAGAAAGATGGGAAAATAAAGGGAGTCACAGCTTACTTACTAGAGCAGAGACTTGTAAGCAGAAATAGCGGCAGAAACCAGCGCTGGGGTAGCAAAACCTGAGCTGTAATTGACGAATTGCTGGAAGCTCAGTGTGGACAACTCTGAGAGCTAGAAACTCCAGGGGTACCCAGTCATAGTAAAGCCCCCAAAGTTTTCTGTTTTTCTCCAGGAGCTCAACCAAGTTCCCACAGTAAATATGAGGAAAATCCCCTGCATGCTTCCAGCAGGCGGAGGGGAAAAGGAACTATTTTGAAATATGCCACAACGCTCTGTTCTTAACAAGGCTTGCCCTCAGAAGAAACTAGTTAACCAGAGCCTGACCTGCTGGGGTATTATCAGAGACTATTTGACCTGGGGAAGAAAAATACGCAACTCAATCAACTCTAACCATCTGACCGACCTAAGTGGGGGAGAAAAAACTGAGAAATACTTGTGAAGTACACAGTCCAGAGGCATAGGCTCAGACTAAAAGACTGAGACCTAATCACAGGACTAGAGAACGCTTCCTCTCCCCACACACCTTACCACTACATTACTGAGGGCCAATTTACAGCAGTTTTTTTTTACCTAGTACATTATGTCCAGCTATCAAGAAAAAAATTACAAAACATACCAAAAGACAAAAACAAAATTTGAAGAGACAGAACAAGCATCAGAACCAGACATGGCAGGAATGCTGAAATTAGCAGATCAGGAATTTAAAACAACTATGATTAATATGCTAAGGGCTCTAATGGATAAAGGAGACAGCATACAAGAACAAATGAGCAATGCAAGCAGAGAGAGAGAAATTCTAGTCAAGAACCAAAAAGAAATGCTAGAGATCAAAAAGGCTAAGAGAAATGAAGAATGCCTTTGATGAGCTTATTAGTAGACTGGACATGGCTGAGGAAAGAATCTCCGAGCTTGAGGATATAGCAATAGAAACCTCCAAAACTGCAAGCAAAGACTGAAAAAAACAAAACAGAATATTCAAGAACTGTGGGACAATTACAAAAGGTGTAACATACACAAAATAGGAATACCTGAAGAAGAGAGAAACAAACAGAAGAAATATTTGAAATAATAATGACTGAAAATTTACCCAAATTAACATCAGACACCAAATCACTGCTCCAGGAAGCTCAGAGAGAGAACACCAAGCAGGAAAAATGCAAAAAAAACCTCTACACCATAGTATATCATTTTCAAACTATAAAAAAATCAAAGATAAAAAAAAAATCCTGGAAGATGCCAGAGAAAAAAATATCTTACTTATAGAGGAGCAAAGATAAGAATCACACCTGACTTCTCCTCAGAAACCATGCAAGCAAGAGAGAGGAGTGAAACATTTAAATTGGTAAGAGAAAAAGCCCACCAACCTAGAATTCTGTACTCTGCAAAATTACCTTTCAAAAGTGAAGGAGACATAAAGACTTTCTCAGGCAAACAAAAATCAAGGAAATTTGTTGCCAGTAGATCTGCCTTACAAGAAATGTTAACAGAGGTTCTTAGAGAAGAGGAAAATAATATAGTTCAGAAAATTAGATCTACATAAGAAAGGAGGAGCATCGAAGGAATAAGTGAAAATAAAATCTTTAATTTTCCTATTTTTAATTGAGCTAACAGGAAACAGTTTGTTCAAAAAATTAGCAACAATGTATTCTATCATGTATGATTATGTATATATATGCTTATATATGAAGTGAAATGAATGACAACAATGATATAAGGAATGGGAAGGAGGAATTAGGATTATTTTGTTATTATAAGGCACTCCCACTACATGTAAAGTGTCTTAGTGTTATTTGAAAATGAACATGGATTAGCTGTAAATGTATATTGAAAACTGTAGGGTGACAACTGAAAAAAGAAAAAAAGAAGTATAATTGGTATGTTAAAAAGGAGAGAAAATAGAACCATATAAAATGTTCACTTAAAACCACAAGAAACAGAAAAAGAGTGGAGGACAAAAATAGAAACAAAGAACAAGGGCAACAAATAGAAAACCAACAAATATGGTAGATATTAATCCAGCTATACCAGTAATTACTTTGAATGTTAATAGTCTAAATGCAAAAGACAGAGACTGTCAGAGTAAATCAAAAAATAAGATCCAACTATGTGTTATCTACAAAAAACATACTGTAAGTATAAAGACACAAATAGTGTGAACATAAATGGATGGAGAATAATATCTCATGCTAACATTAACCAATGTAGCTGTATTAATTTCAGACAGAGCAGACTTCAAAGCAAGGAAAGATATCAGTGATAAAGAAGGACATTACATAATGAGATAGTGGTTAATTCTCCAAGAAGACGTAACAGTCCTTAATGTGTATGTGCTTAACAAGAGAGCATCAAATTACCTGAGGCAAAAGCTGACAGAACTGCAAGGAGAAATAGATGCACCCACTATTACAGCTGGAGACTTCAACAGCCCTCTATCGGAAATGGACAGATCCAGCAGGCAGAAAAATCAGTAAGGACATAGTCGAATTCAACAACACCATCAATCAAGTGGATATAACTGACAGCTATAGACTATGTCATTCCACAACAGCAGAATATATATTTTTCTCAAGTTCACGTGGAATATTAACCAAGACAGACCACATTCTGGGTCATAAAACAGACCTTAACAAATTTAAAAGAATAGAAATCACAGAATGTCTACTCTCAGACCACAGAACAATTAAACTATAAAATCAGTAACAGAAGGATAACCGGAAAATCCCCAAATATGTGGAGATTAAACAACACACTTCTAAATAACACATGGGTCAAAGAAGAAATCTCAAGAGAAATTAAAAAGTATTTTGAACTAAGTGGAAATGAAAACACAACTTATCAAACTTTGTGAGATACAACGAAAAGTAGAGTTTAGAGGGAAATTTATAGCACTGAATGCATATATTAGAAAAGAAAGATCTAAAATCAATAATCTAGGTTTCCACTTAGAAAACTAGAAAAAAAAGATGAAATCCAAAGTAAGGAGAAGAAAAGAAATAATAAGAATTAGAGTAGAAGTCAATGAAGTTAAAAACAGGAAATCATTAGGGAATCTTAATGAAACCAAAAGCTGGTTCTTTGAAAAGATCAACCAAATTAATAAGCCTCTAGTCACGCTAAGAGAAAAAAAAAGGGGACACAAATTACTAACATCAGAAATGAAAGAGGCGACAATCACTACTGATCCCATGGACACTAAAAGGATAATAAAGGAATATGAATAACTCTATATCCTCAAATTTAATGACCAAGATGAAATGAATCAATTCCTTGGAAGGCACAATATGCCAAAATTCACAAAAGAAGAAACAGACAATCTGAATAGGCCTATATCTATTAAAGAAGTGGATCAATATTAATATTCCAAAATAGAAAGCACTAGATCCAGCTGGGTTCACTGGTGAATTCTACCAAACATTTAAGGAAGAAATTATACCAACTTCCTCTAATCTCTTTCAGAGGATAGAAACAGAGGAAATACTTCCTAACTCATTCTACGAGGCCAGTATTATCCTAATACTAAAATCAGACAAAAACATTACCAAAAAAAAAAACTACAGGGGCCAGCCCGGTTGTGTAGCAGTTAAGTGCGCCCGCTCCGCTTTGGCAGCCCGGAGTTCACAGGTTTGGATCCCGGGGGCGCACCAACGCACCGCTTGTCGAGCCATGCTGTGGCAGCATCCCATATAAAGTAGAGGAAGATGGGCACGGATGTTAGCCCAGGGCCCATCTTTCTCAGCAAAAAGAGGATTGGCATCGGATGTTAGCTCAGTGCTAATCTTACTCACCAAAAAAACCCCCCAAAAAACCAAAAAAAACCCCAAAAAACTACAGACCAATATCTTGGAAAAGCAAAGCACTTCCCTATATACCAACAATGAACCAGCGGAATTTGAAATTAAAAACACAATACCATTTACATTAACACCCCCAAAATGAAATACTTAGGTATAAATCTAACAAAATATGTACATGATCTATATGAGGAAAACTACAAAACTCTGATGAACAAAATCAAAAAACTAAACAAATGGAGAGATATTCTATGTTCAGGGACTGAAAGACTCAATGTTGCCAAAATGTCAGTTCTTCCCAAATTGGTCTATAGATTCAATGCAATCCCAATTAAAATCTCAGCAAATTATTCTGTGGATATCAACAAACTGATTCTAAAGTTTATATGGAGAAGCAAAAGACCCAGAAGAGCCAACTCAATACTGAAGGAGAATAAAGCTGGAGGACTGACACTACCTGACTTCAAGACTTACTATAAAGCTACATTAATCAAGACTGTGGAATTGGCAAAAGAAGAGACAAATACATCAATGGAAGAGAACAGATGATCTTGGTTATAGCGATGACATTTTAGATACAACACCAAAGGCATGATCCATGAGAGAAAGAAATGATAAGCTGGACTTTACCAAAATTAAAAACTTCTGCTCTGCAAAATACAATGTCAAGAGAATGAATAGACAAGCCACAGATTGGGAGAAAACATTTGTAAATGATATCTGATAAAGGACTGTTATTCAAAATATTAAAAGAACTCTTAAGAAACAACAATAATGGGGGCCGGCCCGGTGCCATAGT